CTTGATTGTAGGCCTGCACTCATTACAACAAAATCATTAAGTTGTGTAACGTCATAATACTATCTAACAGTCAGTATAAAAATACTGTATAGGGTTACATACTCTTTTAGAAACTTTTTTGTTTTTTGCTAATTAGGTTTGTAGGTCAGGGTAACCTCAATCTAAAATAAGCTTTTGTTTACTATTTGGATTTAAAATATTTCGGTTATCGAAACTGCCCGCCTGCCATCTACTTAAGTGTTGGCCGCGCGTGCCACGGAATAAAGCGATAACCGTCTAAGACAACGAATTAGCATTATAATTGTCTTAAATGCTCCTTGCCCTTCCTACACTATGATGAAACAGGGAAGTCAATGGACGGTCTTGTATAGCTGCAAACCACGCGATGCTAACCTGGAAGTCATGGGTTCGAAAGAGGGTTCGGCGTGGTCGAGTCGTTAAAGCTCATGGTTGCTAAAACCGAAAAGTCTCGAGTTCGAACCCTCGGGCAGATCAGGCTCGTTAGCTGAGGACAGCCACTCTTCTAGGAGAGACAACTCCTAAATCAAACAACTGCTGCCTTGTAGTTTGTTCTTGGTTGGACAAAGGCTATGGAAGCAATTCCAAAATCAAAAGGCTGAAATCGGTTACAATGGCCCTAATGTCGCACAACCACTTGACACGTATCCTTAATTGTGATGGAGGCGTGGTCAAGGTTGATAAATTTGAAAAAAGCCTCGAGTTCAAACCCTCTGGCAGATAAAACTCGACCCCTTCTAACACTAAAAATTAAGAACGAAGTAATGTGTTCGAAACAAGCTAGAGACATTGGCGTCCATCCCCACATTTCTGCCACTACGGCTGGTCAGACTGGGGAGACAAAGGTTCGATGCTTCATTCTGTTTCGGTTTGGCAGTATGAGGAAACTCGGGTCCTTGACGTGTTACACATTTCAAACAAAACAGGTGATTAGAAGCTTAAGTTGATATTCCCGAGTGTTGTTAAGAATTGAATGAAATACTTTTAAGTTAATAATAGCGTTAATAGGATAAAAGTTCAATTAACCTTTACTTCGCCAGCTTTCTGTTGTAGTTGTGCTTATGTATTTATCGGCGGTTATTGATAAATTGCGTCACATTTTTAAAACTAGAGGGGTCTTTTGACTTCTGTAGCGATGTATGACTAGTGAACTCATATTTTGGCTTTTCAAAATTAGCAGTTTCAAATAATATAATTATCATTAAAAAAGTTTTTAAAAACCCACGTTTTCTGATTGAACTAAAAAGTAGAAAATAAATACTATACATCACAATAATGCAAGCGATCACTCTACTATAAGCGATGAAAAACGTGGGGCGCCGAAGTTAAAGTTATATTACTATTGATTAGATAATACTATTGACTTTTATTATGGAGCTTGTAGAGAGTCAACAGTATTAGAAACTGTAAGAAAATCACGGCGCCCCACGTTTTTCATCGCTTATAGTAGAGTGATCGCTTGCATTATTGTGATGTATAGTATTTATTTTCTACTTTTTAGTTCAATCAGAAAACGTGGGTTTTTTAAACTTTTTTACTTTCTCGTAAATACGTAGTATAGAGAAAGTATTGTAATCGTGCAAAAAAAATCGAGATTTTTACAAATCTCGACGTTTTACACCTCACTGATACGGAAAAACATAATTTTGCAATCTTGTCCGTATGTCTGTGTGTGTGTGTGTCTGTGTGTCTGTGTGTCTGTGTGTCTGTGTGTATGTGTGTAAACACGATAACTTGAGTACCGTTACAGCTAGGCTGGTGAAATTTCATATATAAGTATTTTATCAAAATCGTAGATCCGTATCAACTTTTGAGCGAATTCCGATAAACGGAAGTGGTACTTTTTCTACTTTTAGTTTTTCAAAAGCCTATAACTTGAGTACTATTTCAGATAGATAAATGAAATTTGATATGTAAGTAAAAGAGCTAATTCTCTACCTACTGTCAAATTTTGAGTAATTTCCGTTGACCGGAAGTACTTATTTACGCTATTTCCGATTTCTCAAAAAACGCATGTAAATTTATAAAGTACTAATAATATTGCGCACTATTATGCGCTTTTTTATTTAGCGTTCACTTGGTGTGCATTTCTTTTTTCTACGAGATTATATTCAATTTTAAGAAATGTGAGTATTTAATAATAAAATACTTAAAAAAAACTTTTTAAAAAACCACGTTTTTCTTGTGGACTAAAAAGTAGAAAATAACTATTTACATACATTTGATGACAAAAAACGTGGGTCGGGCAGATGGGTCGGGAAATTTGATGGTGAACGTACCCACGTTTTTTGTCATCAAATGTATGTAAATAGTTATTTTCTACTTTTTAGTCCACAAGAAAAACGTGGTTTTTTAAAAAGTTTTTTTTAAGTATTTTATTATTTTCTCCTTTTTAGTCCGTTGCTACACATGAAAAACGTGGTTTTTAAAAAAGTGTTTATAAATACACGGACTAAAAATCTTGAGCGACCAGGATTCGAACCTGGGTTGTCGCGGCCACAACGCGAAGTACTAACCACTATACGATCACGGCCAGCGCGCTCACATCGATTGGGGCCGAAGTAACTGTGTCAATAGGCCTCCAGTCTTGTCGGTATCTTTAGAAATCATGTCCTCAATTTTATGGTCCTTGGGGCGTAATTAAATTAAGCTAATTACGGTCACTAATTGCTAGTTTTTATGATTGCATCTGAAATTGTTAGGCGAAAGTAGCATGCATGCCAAATTTCAGGTCTCTAGAGCTATCAGAAGTGGGCTAATTTTCGATGTCAATTTTAACAACAAACATCCAAACAACCAAACAAACAAACGCGAAGCTGAGTTAAGAAAAACGTTTTAAAATGGATTAAAAATCATGTCTAGAAGTCTATATCCCGAGTTGCCATCCCCTGTAGTGTTATATTAGAATATTCGAGAAAGTTTAGGGGAGATCACTCCCGGTTTATTAATGATAATTATTTTCTACTTTTTAGTCTTTGTCTGTTTGTTTGCATTAAAATCTTGCTATCGATTTTATCTTTTCGCATTCACTTTTTTTTTTTGGGTAAACGAAGACAACTCGTAAAAAACACGTGCCTTGAACCCGTGTCGAGTGGCTTAGCAATCGTGTGCCCAACCACTCGACCATATCGTCTCCCCCATACTGGCCACCAGTTGTTACGTTCTGGTTGTTTGTACACAAACACCGCGTGACAACTACTCAGTAAGCAAAAAGAGGGAGAGTACCGAACCTTGTTTTCATCAAATTACAGTTACTGGGTTATGTCCCTTTTTCCCCACGTTTTTTTTTTTTTTTCACGTTTTTTAACTTGCTTTCGTCTCTGTTTGTTTGTCTTTCCAATCAAATCTTGCGATCGAAATTTCTGGCACTTCCCAGTTAGCTAGCGCGCTGAAATTTTCAGGGAAGCTTTGTTTTGGATGACATTAGAATATTCAATTGTTATTATTACTAAATTGATCCATGGAAACATTTTATTGAGCATTTTAGACCGCTATATAATCTATATATATAATAATGAATATATAATTCATCGCTTATAGTAGAGTGATCGCTTGCATTATTGTGATGTATAGCATTTATTTTCTACTTTTTAGTTCAGTCAGAAAACGTGGGTTTTTTTTAACTTTTTTAATGATTATTATTTGTACAATTATATAGCGGTCTAAAATGATCAATAAAATGTTTCCATGGATCAATTTAGTAATAATAACAATTGAATATTCTATTGTCATCCAAAACAAAGCTTCCCTGAAAATTTCAGCGCGCTAGCTAACTGGGAAGTGCCAGAAATTTCGATCGCAATATTTGATTGGAAAAACAAACAAACAAACAAACAGAAGCGAAAGCAAGTTAAAGAAAACGTGTGAAAAAAATGCATGTGGGGGAGGGGTGTGAGTGAAACGTCATATTGGGGATGGGGGGTAGGGCTTTTTTTGACAGTGAGGAGGAAGTGTTTAGATCATCAAAATAAGAACATCATTAAAACAAGTGTTGATCACTCAAAGAAATATATTCAAAACATGTCGAGACCAAAAATTTAACTGGACTAGCTTACGACATTGAAAGATTATTTTCTCAACTTTAGTGCAATAAAAAGTTAATTGCAAAGCTTTAATTTGTAAATATGATGATGCAAGCAGAACTAATTGAACCAAATAAAGTTGGCCTGGGTCAGGGATTCTCAAGGTGTGTGTCCGTTGATTAGAAACTGTGTGGTCGAATGGTAGACAGTTCGACTGCTAACCCGAAAGTCTCGTGTTCGGATCTCGGGCTCGATTCCGTACAACGTCTGTGAGTGTAGCCAGCTCTGAAGGGTACCTGACTCTCGTTAGGAAAAATAGAGGTGGCTTCCTATGCTGAGATCACTAAAACAGGTAACTCTACTTCACCTGCCCCACGGTCCATAAATTTCAAAAGGTTACTTTACTTTTTCTCTACGTCGATTAGATTCGGTGAACAGAAGCCGGTCAAAATAAAAGGAGCCGGTCATTAGCAGCCGGTCTACAGAAGCCGGTCTACAGAAGCCGGACTACAGATTCCGGTCTAAAGGAGCTGGTCTAAAACGCCGGCCTACAGATTCCGGTCTAAAGGAGCTGGTCTAAAACGCCGGCCTACAGATTCCGGTCTAAAGGAGCTGGTCTAAAACGCCGGTCTACAGATTCCGGTCTAAAGGAGCTGGTCTAAAACGCCGGCCTACAGATTCCGGTCTAAAGGAGCTGGTCTAAAACGCCGGTCTACAGATTCCGGTCTAAAGGAGCGGTTCTACAAGAACCGGTCACCAGCAGCCGGTCTACAGAAGCCGGTGTAATGAAAATACGCCACCGTAAAAAAAAAGTTTAGAACCTCAGACAATAAGCCACTATCGTGAAAGTTACCACAATCGGTGTAACTCTCTACTGAGGTATAAATAGGTGAATGGTATTGTTATCTAACAAATTATGTTACTGGACGCTTAGCTTTTTACTTAGCAACAAAGCTGGACATGCATAAAGATTTGCTTCACACGGACAACGGTCATGAGGTGGAGGTGTCCAGCGGTGGACGACGCCGACCAAAGCTCCGGACACGCGAGGTATGGGCCAAGAAACTGGACTTTCTCGTCGCGTGCATCGGGTTTTCTGTTGGTCTTGGCAACGTGTGGAGATTCCCGTTCCTGTGTTACCGAAATGGTGGAGGTGAGGGAATTCTTTAGACTATTTATAGCAGTTCGTTTGTTACAAAATGTGGAGGTAAGGTAATTCTAGAGACTATTTATAGCAGTACGTTTGTTACAAAATATGGAGGTGTGGGAATTCTATAGACTATTTATAGCAGTACGTTTGTTACAAAATGGTGGAGGTGAGGGAAGTCTATAGACTATTTATATAGCAGTTAGTTTCATTAAGGAAAAGTTGATGTCCGGGTTGCACAAATCGCAAGTAAGTTTAGATCGCCTGCGTGGTTGAACTTGACAGGGCATCGCGAAGCTGACTGAAACTGTAGGTTCACATTCAACGTCAAAAGTCTCGAGTTCGAACCATCTGGCAGATAAGGCTCGATCCCTTCCAACACTAAAAATTAAGAACGAAGAAGAAGAATAACATTTAACGTCAACAGTTTTCGTCTATGCAAATGCATTTCTTTAAATTAAAAAAAAAACTCTTCATACGTTCTTATATGTTAGACGCGTGCATACATTTGATGGGACATTTCTTATAGTCTTAATATAAATTGATGCAAATATCCTGATGTATGAGACACGCGTACACATTATGGTATAGTCTAGATGTGCAATGTATTTCTTTGAGACACTTGCATACACTTTATGGTATAGTCTAGATGTACAATGTCTTTCTTTTTTTTAAGACACTTGCATACACTTTGTGGTATAGTCTAGATGTACAATGTCTTTCTTTGAGACACTTGCATACACGTTATTGTATAGTCTAGATGTACAATGTCTTTCTTTGAGACACTTGCATACACTTTATGGTATAGTCTAGATGTACAATGTCTTTCTTTTTTTTGAGACACTTGCATACACTTTGTGGTATAGTCTAGATGTACAATGTCTTGCAGGTGCCTTCTTGGTTCCATACTTCATCGCCGTCTTTCTTGGAGGTATCCCAATGTTTTTCCTGGAAGTTGCACTCGGACAGTTTATGAGCGAGGGCGGCATCGGCCCGTGGAAGATAGCGCCTCTCTTTAAAGGTTCGTGGTGGTCACTCCTAGCCTACAGAATACATATAAATGCTTTAGGGAAACACTGACACTAATTTTAAAATGTATTTATAGCATCGGCCGTGGTAGATTGCGACTCCATATTGATGGAGAAATTAGTATGATTTAAACGACAAACTAAAAATATATCTATAGTATTGCTTTAAATGATTGTCTCCATTACCAACCATAAACGCATACAGTAGGCCTATTAATCATATTTTTAAAATTACTACAGCTACTACATTGCTATACAGGGACATTATCCCCGAGTTTTTTTCAAACCTAATATGTCCAGGTATTGGCCACGCCTCTGCCGTCATCGTGTTCCTCTTGAGTTGTGAGTACAACATCGTCAACTCCTGGGCCTTCTACTACATCTTCGCCTCCTTCACCCCCACCCTCCCCTGGTCCCACTGCCACAACGCCTGGAACACGCCCAACTGCTCCACGTTCGATGCCCCGACCTTGACCTTCAGCAACGTGTCCAGCGGCAATGAGAACCTCCCGAACGTGTCGCTGGGCGGCGTTCTGGAAACTTCCTTCAACGCCTCGGACAGTCTCGGCGTGGGCGGGATCTCTGACGTCACGCAACTACGGGACAACGGAACTGTTGGGGTGTTCCGGATTATTCCCAGAGCGATGACGTCAGATCCTGTTACAGAATTCTGGGAGTGAGTTGTGTTTTAACGTTATTAGCTGCTTACATTGTGTCATGTCTGATAGGGCCTTTATCTGGTTTACATTTCATTCAGATATTCGTAGCTAAAAATAACGGCTTTGATATAGAAAAACCAAAGTTCTCTGGGATTATTTATTTTTAAAATATTCCTTTTGCAAGAAATAGAACTGCGGAATAAACAGTTTTGACGGAAACAACAGTTAAAAACTTGCCAAAGTCCCAGTTTTTTTACTTATTCATAAACTAGTTCTCTTCAAATCGGACACTCATAAAACCAACTACTTCTCTTATACCAATGTCGACATCTGGATCAGACTCAGACTTTTGTCGTCCAGTATTTTATTATTTACTCGGGATGTTAATGCTTCAAATGTGTAGTTATTTAGAGAAACGAAATGGAACTCTTTATAGTCGAGACCCCTCAGATAATATCGTTGCATGTTAGCCAATTGTAGTTGATCCGTTCCTGTTATTATTCCACTTTTTCGTTCCTTGGGTGCATACGATGTAGGCCTAACTATTTATATGCGATTATAGTATGAACAGATTCTAACAAGGGAACTAATTACAAATGGGTCAGAAACCAATTAGCTTCAGAGTTAATTAGCAATTAATGAAAATCTATGTGATTTTGTAATAGAATTTTCCGATTTTTAAACTAGACTCTAATTATGTTAAACATGTAAAAGGTAAATTTATAAACTGTCAGCGTTTATAAGTGTAAGTGCTGTGTTTAAACTGTAAGCACGTATAAGTGTGAGATCACAGTGTCTGTATTACACCCCAGACGTAAAGTACTGGGCCTGTCTTAAGATTACTATTATACCCCCACCAGACGTAAAGTACTGGGCCTGTCTTAAGATTACTTTTATACCCCCACCAGACGTAAAGTACTGGGCCTGTCTTAAGATTACTTTTATACCTCCACCAGACGTAAAGTACTGGGCCTGTCTTAAGATTACTTTTATACCCCCACCAGACGTAAAGTACTGGGTCTGTCTTAAGATTACTTTTATACCCCCACCAGACGTAAAGTACTGGGCCTGTCTTAAGATTACTTTTATACCCCCACCAGACGTAAAGTACTTGGCCTGTCTTAAGATAACTTTTATACCCCCACCAGACGTAAAGTACTGGGCCTGTCTTAAGATTAGTGTCTTGTCTTATACCCCCACCAGACGTAAACTACTTGGCCTGTCCTAAGACTACTTTTATACCCCCACCAGACGTAAAGTACTGGGCCTGTCTTAAGATTACTTTTATACCCCCACCAGACGTAAAGTACTTGGCCTGTCTTAAGATAACTTTTATACCCCCACCAGACGTAAAGTACTGGGCCTGTCTTAAGATTAGTGTCTTGTCTTATACCCCCACCAGACGTAAACTACTTGGCCTGTCCTAAGACTACTTTTATACCCCCACCAGACGTAAAGTACTGGGCCTGTCTTAAGATTACTTTTATACCCCCACCAGACGTAAAGTGCTGGGCCTGTCTTAAGACTACTTTTATACCCCCACCAGACGTAAAGTACTGGGCCTGTCTTAAGATTACTTTTATACCCCCACCAGACGTAAAGTACTTGGCCTGTCTTAAGATTACTTTTATACCCCCACCAGACGTAAAGTGCTGGGACTGTCTTAAGATTACTTTTATACCCCCACCAGACGTAAAGTACTGGGCCTGTCTTAAGATTACTTTTATACCCCCACCAGACGTAAAGTACTTGGCCTGTCTTAAGATTACTTTTATACCCCCACCAGACGTAAAGTGCTGGGCCTGTCCTCTGGGGTAGGAGAACCAGGTACCATCAAGTGGGACAACGCCCTGTGTCTGCTGCTGGCCTGGGTCATCGTCTACGTCTGCATCTGTAAGGGGATTAAGTCGTCTGGGAAGGTCAGTAAGCCTTAATTCAAAACCAGGAGCAAATATTTTTTTTTTAATTTTCTCTTACGACTTTCCACAGTTTCTTGCCCCTTTCCCCCTCCACTCCCACCCATGCCTCACGCACAACATCATGCCATATTTCATTTACCTCCCTCATCACATATCTTTCATTAACACCCCCCTCCCTACAAACAAGAATCCCAGCCACCCGACAAGGATTTGTAAAACTGAATTGTTTACCTATGTTTGATAATTCAAACAAAAACTTCCGGTCTAACTATCATTCATTGTTACCTTTGTTTGGAATTTGACAGCAGTTTAACATCGGGTAATGTGTTTACACGTGTTGATCGAATTGATTGATTAACGTCCCCCAGGTCATGTACTTCACTGCCAGTAGCCCTTACGTCTTCATGTTCATCTTGCTTGTCAGGGGCGTCACGCTGGAAGGGTCCACCCAGGGGCTGTTGTATTACCTCGACCCCAAATGGGAGCGCCTTGCCGATGCTCAGGTAGCTTTATATTGAACACTAGACTCTTTACTAAACGTGTCGAGGATCAGTTTAAGATATAGACAAGTCAAAAAAATAAGAATGAGTATATATATATATATATATATATATATATATATATATATATATATATATATATATATATATATATATATATATATATATATATATATATATATACTACATACTTATCGCTATTTATATGGACGAAACATGGGTATGTATCCTCATTTTTTCCTTTTGTATATGTAAATATATATGCTATATTATATATATATATATATATATATATATATATATATATATATATATATATATATATATATATATATATATATATATATATATCGACAAGGACAGGAGAGTCATCGCACTTAATGTAGGTAACACTACATCACTACGCCTTGTTAAGGTTGTAAAGGGATTATCTGAAAAGTCCAAATCTGTTCCCATCTAATTCGGTTTATTTCTTTAATGCCTATTCTGTAGGTATGGGTGGATGCTGGCACCCAGGTATTTTTCTCCTACTCCCTGTCTCTGGGTGCCCTGACGGCACTGGGGAGCTACAACAGGTTCCATCACAACTGCCTTAGGTAACCAACCATTGTGGGTCATTCATTGTACATAGGCTACACGCATGTCCATCATACATACACATACGTGATGTATACGGAACAATTCATGCTTTGTAACATTTGATTACAGTCTCAGTCATGACAGAACTGAAAGACTCTAAAAAGTTTTTTCTACAATGCTGGTGGTGGTTATTTAACTCTAACTGCTACACTGGACAACTGAGTTTTCATTAGTTGAGAAGGCTCCTAACAGTGCGATCAAAATGCATACGTTAATATAGTCGAAAATTATATTTTGTAAACAAATTATTCTCTTAACTTACAACTGTTGGATATTTTTTAAAGTTGTAACATTCAACATGCTAGTAACTGTTTCTCTCGAACCTTCTCGTACCTTCTCCCCCCCCCCCTTACTCTTTGTCCTCTTCAATAACATTTGATTTGTTACTAAACAAATTTCCTTCACAAAATTCTATTTATATCACAACTACTTAGACTTGCTTTTACTGATAGTTCTCTCCCCTCGAATGTCTAGAGACAGCCTCATCTTCGGCGTCGTCAACACATTCACAAGTCTCCTCGCCGGCTTCGTCATCTTCTCCATCCTAGGCTTCATGGCCTTCAAACAAAATGTTTCAGTAGAGGACGTTGCCGAGTCGGGTCAGTTCATTATCATCATTTAATAAACGTAATTTTCATAATTTAATATATCGCGAAATAAAAAATGTGTGCGTCAATACTTGAGTTTTATTAAGTCATACTGTTTATTTTATCTCTTACAAAATATACACATAAGCACAACAACACAACACACATACGCTACACATACATTCATACACACAAATACACATACACACACAACATATAATATACACATACACACATACACACATACACACATACACACCAACCCCATGCTATCAGAAATACTGGTAAGATTTATAAGAAAATAAAACAATCACGCAATATTTCAATGACACAAAAAATGGGAAGTAAGAATTTCATGGTTCACGGTCCATAGAGTAGATGCAGTAGAGTTTAGCTGTTTCCTTGAACCCTGTATGTAATGGTATTGTTTAGTCAATGATATACCCACTTACCTTTACATTTCCCGGCTCGAAACAGGTACCCATCAGAGCTGGGCAGACTCTAAAAAGTGGGGAGGGGGATCAACTAACAGCCCTGGTAGGAAGTTTAAATCAGTGCTGGGTATTTAGTGGGTGGAGGATTTATTTACAAGCAAATACTTGGCTAATGAAAAATCAAGAACGATAACTGTTTCCCCAGGTCCAGGCCTGGCCTTCATTGCCTACCCTGAAGCTGTTTCCCAGATGCCTTTAGCGCCGTTTTGGTCGGCTTGTTTCTTCATCATGCTCATACTGCTAGGCTTGGATAGTCAGGTGGGTAGGTCATTAGGTCATAGACAGGTTGGTAGGTCATTTGATCATACTGCTAGGCCTGGATAGTCAGGTGGGTAGGTCATTAGCTCATACTGTTAGGCTTGGATAGTCAGGTGGGTAGGTCATTAGGTCATAGGCAGGTTTGTAGGTCGTAGGTCATAGATAGTCAGGTGGGTAGATCATTCGCTCATACTGTTAGGCTTGGATAGTCAGGTGGGTAGATCATTGTCAGATTAATAGGTCATTGGGTCATTGTCAGGTTGGTAGGTCATTAGCTCATACTGTTAGGCTTGGATAGTCAGGTGGGTAGATCATTCGCTCATACTGTTAGGCTTGGATAGTCAGGTGGGTAGATCATTGTCAGATTAATAGGTCATTGGGTCATTGTCAGGTTGGTAGGTCATTAGCTCATACTGTTAGGCTTGGATAGTCAGGTAGTCAGGTGGGTAGGTCATTAGGTCATAGGCAGGTTGGTAGGTCATTTGGTCATACTGCTAGGCATGGATAGTCAGGTGGGTAGGTCATTAGGTCATAGAGAGGTAGGTAGATCATAAGATCACACTGCTAGGCTTGGATAGTCAGGTGGGTAGGTCATTGTCAAGTGGGTAGGTTATTAGGTCATTGTCACGTTGGTAGATCATTAGCTCATACTGCTAGGCTTGGATAGTCAGGTGGGTAGGTCATTAGGCCCTTTTTTAGGCTTGGGTAGCCAGGTTGGTAGGTCATTAGGTCATGCTGCCAGGTTTAGATAGTGAGGTTGGTCATCATCATCATTCCTTTGTGGCCCCTGAGGTTGGTAGTTTCGTTGGATTTCGGTTTGTTTGCGGGAGACGGCGTGGTCGAGAGGAAGTGTGGATGATTGCTAACTCCATAAGCCCGAGTTTGGACCCCGGGCATCTGATGCTCTTTATCTGAGGCCAGTAACCCATCCTAAATTAAGCAACTGCTGCCTTGCAGATTGTCCTTGGGCGGGCAAAGGTTATGGAATCAAATCCAGAACGAAAATCAGGCTGATGTCGCAAGTAAAGCCGTTTGGGAACCATATCGATTACGCTCATTTTTCATATCTTGTATTGAATAGAAGCCGTTATAAATAATTTTAGAATTATTTTATCAATTCACATATTTAAAAAAAAAACACTCCTTGAAGTCAACCGAAATTACCCGGGAAAGTAAAATAATGAAAATCACAACACTTGTTTTCCATGATAACATACACAATAGCAGTCATTGTGATATTGCCTAGTAGTTTATTCATATAAAATAATAAGTTGTTGTTTTTTAAATACATCCCCTATCATCACAACACCCTGACTCTACTAATCCAAATTAAAAACTTAAGTGATAGCAAAATTACTAGTATATTACTAGTATTTATTTGTTTGAATATTTCTAGCCTTAATAAAGCCAAAAGTCATTTTGTACTTATTTCTCAAAAGTTATAAAATATTTAATTTTGGTTGAAAAATATGCTTTCTGGAAACAACCATTTGGAACCATTAGAGTCAGCTTTTAAAGCCTATCCATGGAAACTCAATGGCTACAGTATGTGTTTAATTGTTATCTTGTCATCTGGTTGATAGTCTGATATCTGAAGTTCTAAAATCAAAGAATAAAACTTGAGCCTAAACAAACGTGTTTCAGTTTGTTGGAGTCGAGGGTTTCATTACCGCCTGTGTTGACCTGTTTCCAGACGTCTTAAGACGAGGCTACCGCAAGGAAAAATTCACCCTTGTAGTCTGCGTCGTCTGCTACATCATCGGTCTGTCGATGGTCACTGAGGTCAGTACTCGTCTTTTTAATAGTGATGTTTTTTCTTACGAAAAGAATCAAATGGCTAGCGTTATAATTATAATATGTGTTTGAATTGTTTCAGGGCGGTATGTACGTGTTCCAACTTTTTGATTACTACTCAGCAAGCAGGATTGTGATGGTGGTGGCTGTGGTTGAGTGTCTAGTTGTCGCCTATGTCTATGGTAGGTGGATGTGGTTGTCTAGTTGTCGTCTATGTCTATGGTAGGTGGATGTGGTTGTCTAGTTGTCGCATATGTCTATGGAAGGTGGTTGAGTGTCTAGTTGTCGCTTATGTCTATGGTAGGTGGATGTGGTTGTCGTCTATGTCTATGGTAGGTGGATGTGGTTGTCGCCTATGTCTATGGTAGGTGGATGTGGTTGTCTAGATTTCGCCTGTGTCTATGATAGGTTGATGTGGTTGTCTAGTTGTCGTCTATGTCTATGGTAGGTTGATGTGGTTGTCTAGTTGTCGCTTATGTCTATGGTAGGTGGATGTGGTTGTCTAGATTTCGCCTGTGTCTATGATAGGTTGATGTGGTTGTCTAGTTGTCGATTGTCTATGGTAGGTTGATGTGGTTGTCTAGTTGTCGTCTATGTCTATGGTAGGTTGATGTGGTTGTCTAGTTGTCGCCTATGTCTATTGTAGGTGGATTTGGTTGGGTGTCTACTTGTAACCAACTATTTTAAAGAGACTTTAACTTATTATATCTAACCATCAAAGTTGAAGAGACTTACAGTAAATGAATGTCATCTACCCAGGTGTTGATCGATTCTGTGACAACCTAATCATCATGTTTGGGTTCCAGCACAAGTTGGGAACAAAACTGTTCAGGTGGTACATCCGGGTCTTCTGGGCGTTTCTCAGTCCCTTCTACACACTGGTAGGATTTTATTTCTTTACGACACTACTTAACAAAACTTCAAATGTGTTTGAATCAACCGATGATTGACCACCGTAAAATTATAATGTTGTAAGTGATGCATTTTATACAGACTGTTGGACCTTTCTCAGGAAATGTGTGGTCAAGAGGAAGATCAAAAGATAATGTACCCAAATTCATGTCAATTTTTTTCTGCGAAATACCATTTTTTTATTATTGCAACGTGAAAGCACTCATCACAGGGGCCGCAGTAAATATGCATTTGCAATTCGAGATATTTTGGATTGTACTTTGACATTAAAGTTTTGGTGCCAGCTGGTTTTTGTTGTGTTCCCTGCTTCTTTTGTTGTTTCCAAAATGCTCGTTTTTGCTCGTTTATGTTTTGTAGTCTACTACGTTTTTTCTAGGGTGCTGGTTTATGTATTGTAGTCTGCTACTTGTTTTTTGTGGAGTGCTAACTTGATTTTGTAGGGTACTAATTTGTGTATGGTAGTCTGCTACGTTTTTGTGCAGCGCTAGTTTATGTATTGTAATCTGCTACTTGTTTTTTTTTTGTTGAGTGCTAGTTTGTGTATTGTAGTCTGCTACTTGTTTTTGTAGGGTGCTAATTTGTGTATTGCAGTCTACTACTTTTTACCTTGCAATTTGTTGGGGTCTAGCCAATAGCGGCAAAACGGAAGTACTGAAAATTTATGTTTTGCTCATACGAGCGAAATTCTTTTCGGTGTTTAAAAAAATCAAAAATTTATAATAGTTTTGAGCCTAACCTTAACTCTAATATTGATTTTTTTTATACACAAAAAAGAATTTCGCTAGTACGAGCAGTACTAAAACCTTCAGACTTGTCTTGCAGTCTGCTATTTTTTTTTGTTGTTTTGTTGTTGTTGTTTTGTATTGTAGTTTTTATTGTTTACCTTTTGAGCCCTGCCAGTTTGTGTCTTGCATCTATCAGGCCATCTTCACACTGGGCTGTGTCAGCTACTCCGAGGTTGATTATAAGCGGAAGTTCGTCACCTACGTCTTCCCGTCCTGGGCTATCGGGATTGGCTGGACATTGGCGCTGGTCAGTGTGGTCGTGATACCCGTCTTCATGGTCCAGGGCTTGCTGGTGACGCCAGGGACACTAGTACAGGTAAGTGGGGTAGTTATCCCCACCTTTATGGTCCAGGGCTTGCTGGTGACGCCAGGGACGTTCTTGGAAGTCAGTGTTTGATTTTTTTTGTTGTTTTTGTTTGTTTCGCTCATAATGCTATACCATTTAATTTCAAAAACAAAACTTAAGCTTTTACAATCCGCTTATATTGATTTCTATAATCGTTCTATTTTCATTGTTACGTCTCTTACAAGTAGCGATCCTGAATGTGTGTGTGCTTGTGTTCGTTTGTGTGTCTGTGTCTGTTTGTGTGTGTGTCTGTGTCTGTTTGTGTGTGTGTCTGTGTGTGTGTCTGTGTGTTTGTATGTGTGTGTTAGGGTGTGTGGACAGCGAGAGAACGGGTTATGTGCTGTGTAGTTAAGTATTGTTGTATCATATTTTTTTTATTATCTCTTGTATTTAACTCTTTATTTTCATTTAGTATTAGCTTTAGTTCTGTCGAGTTTGTTGTACTGTTCTATACGTTTTGTTATCCTGTATTATTATATTAGACAGAAGAACCCGACATCTATAAATCTATCTATTTTAACCATTGATTCTATAATCTATCTATTTTCATCCAATTATTTCACTTATTACGTCCCTTACCATGTAGCGTCCCCTGAATTTGAGTCTGTGTGTGTTGTGTGCTCAAACGAAAGATACCCTCATTTTTTATATAGTTGTAGCCATTGGTTGAGTGTGTCTCGATAGAACGAGAAGTGTTCACGCGTGGATTGACAGCTGACTGGTCCTATAAGCATCCTAGTTTCACCATTGAATCTATAATCTTTCTATTTTCACCAATGGTTTCTATAATCACCATATTTTCAACCATTGATTCTATAATCTATCTATTTTCACCAATGGTTTCTATAATCATCCTATTTTCACAACTGATCCTACAATTATCTTATTTTCACCACTAATTCTATAATCATCCAATTTTCACAATTGATTCTACAATCATATTTCCACCAATGGTTTCTATAATCATCCTATTTCCACCACTGATTCTACAATCATCCTACTTTCACCCACTGCCCTGTGTCCAGCGTTTGAGGCTACTCACCACCCCCAGACTCAAGAAACATCAGCTGAGACCCAACGAAGATTTGACAAAAATAATTCTGGAGGAAAGTCAGGACCCTGTGTACCCAACATGTCTTTTGTTAATCAACAATAAAGATCCTTGTTAGGTTTTTTTATACTGGGTATTAATTGTTAGTGTATCAAATATTGTTACTGTTGATAAAAAGACGCCTATTATTTATTAGCTTTCCAATTTTTAAAAACTGTATTTGCAATAATATAAGCCTATTTGTAAAAACACTTAAATTATTTTGTGTAATTGTTTAATTAGATGATAATGATGGATGATAAATGATTTATATGACAAATGATGGATGATAAATAACACAAGCATGTTTAACACAATGGCAGTTTTACTTTATTCGATCCATTCTGGTTAGTTCAATACAACTTTATAACAGGGGCGCTACTTTGACAATGCTAAATCTCATGACTGTCCTGGTTAACTCACCTGTATATTTTGAGATGATAAGCTACAACATAGATTCCTTAGTTTTGTTTGTTTTTCATTTTATTTTCTTGTTGATGTTTGTTTGTTGTTGTTGTTTTGTTTGGTTTTTTTTTGTTTTCTTTTTATGAAAATTTTTCGCAGGTAACAGGGTTTTCACTTTAAATTATTTTTTTTTATTATTTATGAAACTGATGTTGCATTTTTTACACAATTAAATATTCTATTTTAGCGTCAAACAAAATAATTGTTTACTTCTATAAATAAACACGTGTAAAAATGGGATACATCTATAATCCCGTGGTCAAAATTTTCAGGTAACTGCTTCTTATTCATAGAACTGGTCGGAATTTTGTGACGATGCGGTGGTGGGGGAATGCGGTGGGGGGGGGGATATTTTAAAAAGTCATACTTTTACATTTAAAACACAATTTCTTAAAAAACTGAATTGGTGAATTTCAGCAGTTATTTTAAAATTTAAATTTTAAGTATTTGTTTTTCCAGCAACCTTATATTAATCCGGATTAGCCAAATATAATGTATAATGTATACTATGAATTAGTGATTAACCATCCCAGCTAGCCAATTTTCGGCAGTAGTTGTAGTATTTCGATACTCTCCGTGCTAGTGGATACTGCTCAAGTTATACTTTTGGCAAAATTCTACCTTATATCACTTCACAGAAATGAATAGCTGATGGTCGTTTAGAATGTGAAGTCACTTCGGCAGGGATGGGGGCTGATTTTTTGAGACAAAGTGTGAAGATGGAAAAAAAAAACGCGACGTCGTTTATGAACGATAACTTAAACATGTTATATAAAAATACTTATATTATAATATGACTACTAAATGTACAGAGAATCGCAAGCTGGCTGCTGTATCTAATTAAATTGTTTCCGTCAGATATACCTTATTACTTTTTAAAGGGTTTTTTTTTTTACTTTCTGAGATTATCAGGAGGAGGGGGCTTAAATTCAGTTTTGTTTCGTATAGCAAGCTGGATCCTGTCATTCATAATCCAAACTTTTTATACAAAACATACATTTATACAAACATTTATAAACCATACATTTATACAACAACATGAAACCATACATTTATACAACAATATGAAGCTAGGAATTCATACATCAATATAAAACCAGGCATTCATAAATCAGTATGAAACCATACATTTATACAACAATATGAAACCAGGAATTCATACAACAATATGAAACCATACATTCATACATCAATATGAAACCATACATTTATATATCAATATGAAACCATACATTCATGCAGCAATATGAAAACATACATTCATACAACAATATAAAACCATACATTTATACAACATGAAACCATACATTCATACAACAATATAAAACCATACAGTAATACAATATAAAACCATACATCCATACAACAATGTGAAGCCATACATTCATACAACAATATGAAAACTTACATTTATACAACAAAAGGAAATTCAAACATTCATAGCACAAGATAAAACCTACATGTATCCATCAATAGAAAACACATATATTCAGACATATTTGTGTAGGCCTATTTATAATAGTAGTAACCCTTTCACCTGTGGATAAAAAATAAAAAATGTCACCATGTTAAGATCATGATATCAGTTAAATCTCTTTGTTATTAAGGTTTATTAAAGAAAAAAATCCTTTGAATTTTTTTAAATAAATATTATAACATCCGAATCCTATAAATGCAATCAATGAATGGTCTCTCAAAAGTCATTTACAAGAATTTTTTATAATTTAATAATAATATATTATTGTTGACGATAATTAAGTTTTTATATTATTCTTATTATTCTTATTATTTTTATTATTCTAATTATTCTTATTATTCTTATTATTCTCATTTTATTATGATTGTTGTTGGTGGTGGTGGTGGTATTATTGTTATTGTTGTTGTTATTATTTTTAATTTAATAAAAAATTATATTAATAATTATCACGTGCATTATTTATTAAAGTTAATTTAACAACGATTTTCTTGCGTTGCAAGTTAGTTATTTGTTTAATGTGACTATACCACGTGAAGCTTAAAGCAGAAGCAATTCGATACCCCAAAACAAATTGCAAAAAAGAGCAACATTTCTTTTTTTTTCAAATATAATACCCTTCCATAATGATAACAAGTCAGCATATGACCTGAAGTAAAAAAAAAGTGAGGTTTGAAACTTTTTTAAATGTTGGAGATATAGCCTAGTATGTGGTATCTTGCAAGAAAGAGAGTGAGGCTAGTTGGAAATAAAGGACGTTACAATAAGAAACAGCTTGTTAAGTTGTGTAGTGTGTTGTGTGTAGGGGGTTTCAAATGTTACGACACAGCTATTATAGCAGAAGGCTTACATTTCGCCATTCGTTAAATAAATATACGCCATGCTAAACATTGCGCAATTTAAGCATAACAGTTATTAGAACTAATACAGATCGCTATGTAATTAAAGCAACACCTCAACGTCATTATAAAAAAAAACTCATAGTGGTATTATACGTGTAGAGTTAGATATATTTTTAAATACAATATTTAATTGACTATTTTATATTTTAAATTACTTTACTGAGGGGGAGGGGGTCTACTGATTCAATAATGTTTTAGTAGTTGCTGACACTAAGAGGTGTATGTATCAAAATGTAAGCGATGTTGTTATAGATGTTACTACTATGAGAGGGTTACAGTGGCGTAGGCAGGGGGGGGTTAGGGGGGGTTATAACCCCCCCCCCCCCCATGGACCCCCAAAATGACTACTTTTTTACGTTAAGCTATAGCTATTGACTTGTGTCAATATTATTTAGGGCTTAAACACTAAACACTTAAGCCTGGCAGCCTCTAGAACAACAATGTATATCATTGTGATGAGAATTGCCTGTAGAATTTAGTTATGAATTTTATTATCGCGCTAAAGTAAAGTATAATAATCTGGAACGCAGTAGGCCAAGGGAAAGTTGGCCAAGGTTAGATCAGTTAAGGAGTGTCGAAAGGGAGGGGTGGGCTACGTGGGTAGGCCTTTGTTGTCTAATATGATTGTAGTGCAATCGGAAAGCGTCTAGAAATGAAAAACAAACAAAGGAATTGATTATTATTCGCATTGAGGTTCTATAATGTGTATGTTTTTACTACTTCAAACCATTTGAAATTCATTTCACTTAATTTTTAAAAAGATAAGTAAACTGAAAATGATAAAGATGGCAGAGGGAGGAGTAGGCAGGGGTGAGGGGAGGGGGGGGGTAGAACCTTCAAAATGACAATCCTTTACGTTAAGTTACAGCTATTGACGACGATGGACTTGTGTCGCTATCATTCAGTGCTTAAACAACAAACACTCAGGGTCGCAATAGGCGAAGAGAAAGCTGAACAAGGTTATCAGTTAAGGGGTGTAAAAGGGGGTGAGGGTGGGATGAATATTGGTACGTATCAATTATAAAATACTACCGGATGCACATCTGGCAGGAAGGCGTGGGCTTGACCCACAGTTGTTGACACAAAACTTTGTGTTGGTAGGCTATATAAAAAAAACTGCGTATTTGGTTAAATATAGATGTAAAGCCAGGAACCTACAGTAGTCAATTTAGACAGAATAGAAGACCAATAATAATTTGCTTTCTTCTTCGTATGGTCGTGTTTTAATGTGTATCTTTTAACTACTTCAAGCAATTTAAATTCATTTTAATGATGGCGGAAGGAAAAAGGAAATTAAAAACTACTTTATTAACTGATTTCTTTACAAAGAAAAGTAAAACTGAAAATGATAAAAATGAAGATGGTACTATTGCTTTTCAAAGTACATTACATCAAGAAATTTCCATAAATTCAGCACCTTCGACTGTTTCTTACGCAAATGATATCGGCAATTTTATCAAAGGAGTTATAACAGACGATACACGGTTGTATTTATTAGAAAACATCTGGCGTCCTGATGAACTTTTAAAATTTCCAGCAAGCGGACAAAGAAATTTAAAGTTTCAATATTTGTGGCTACTTAGGTGGAACTGGTTGACTTATTCCAAATTACTTGATGGCGCATTTTGCAAATATTGTGTTTTGATTAGTTTGAATTATCGTGGTGTAGGTAGTCAGCCTATGGATAAGCTATCAAAAATTTCATTTTCAAACTGGAAAAAGGCAACAGACAAGTTTAATGAGCACCAGCAATGTGAGTATCATAAAAGAGCAATTTTACTTTCCCAAAATCGTAAATCGGTGATGGAGAAAAAAAAATTAACTTATTAAAATCTCCTTAAATTTATCATAAGTCAACAAATTCAAGAAAATCGTTTAAGATTAGCGCCCATAATAGAATCTCTAATATTTTGCGGCCGACAAGGAAATTTTTAGTTGGAGAAAACTGCTGAAAATGATGGAAATTTGATTTTTATAATTTTTTTACGATAGTGTACATGTGTTACTTGTTACAAAACAATAGCTAATACTAAGATAAGTTAGTCGGTGGCACCCACGAGTTTCTATTGTCACCAGCCACCAATACTTTACACGCACGCACTTACACATGCATATGTACACACACACACACACACACACACATATATATATATATATATATATATATATATATATATAAAATGCTGGAAAAAATTTGAACCCCCCCCCCATGAGACGATCCTGGCTACGCCACTGGAGGGTTAACATGGTATATGCATAAAGATGTGAACGATGCTATTATAAAAGTTGGTTCTATTAGATGGGGGTAAACTTACATGTATCAAGATGTAAACGATGTTATTATAAAAGGTGGTACTATGAGAGGAGAGTTAACTTACATGGTGTATGTATAAAGTTGTGACAGCGAACAAGACACTGGCCACCCCCAGTAGAATCCATTGGGTGTACCGGAGAAACTCCTGTCAAATAAATGTATAATGAAGATTTAGAATGACATAGTGACAGCCTATTTATATATATATATATATATATATATATATATATATATATATATATATATATATATATATATATAGCTTATATATTTACATATACAAAAGGAAAAAAATGAGGATACTTACCCATGTTTTGTCCATATAAATAGCAATAAGTATGTAGTTAAGAATTGACTGTCCGCCAAATAGCCTCCATAAATAGAAGAGGATTATAGATGAATACGAGTGGCAGAGGTTGAACTGGAGAAGCTAAGTCAATGGAAAAAAAACCGGGAGTGATCTCCCCTCAACTTTCTCGAATATTCTTATATAAAATAACAGGGGATGGAAACTCGGGCTATAGACATGATTTTTAATCCATTTTAAATACTTAAAGTTTTAAAAATATAATAAAATCTCGTAGACAAATTAATTGCACACCAAGTGAACGCAAAAAAAATAAACCGGTAGTGATCTCCCCTAAACTTTCTCGAATATTCTTATATAAAACAACAGGGGATGGTAACTGGGGATATAGTTATGATTTTTAATCCATTTTAAATACTTAAACTTTTAAAAATAGAATAGAATCTCATAAAAAAAACATTGCGCACCAAGCAAACGCCGAATAAAAACGCGTATAATAGTGCGCAATATTATTAGTACTTTAAAAATTTACATTAGTTTTTTGAGAAATCGGAAGTAGCGTAAATTACTACTTCCAGTCAACGGAAATTACTCAAAATTTAACAGAAGGTAGAGAATTAGATCTTTTACTTACATGTGAAATTTCATTTATCTATCTGAAATAGTTCTCAAGTTATAGGCTTTTGAAAAATTCAAAGTAGGAAAAGTACCACTTCCGGTTATCGGAAATCGCTCAAAAGTTGATACGGATCTACGATTTTGATAAAATACTTATATATGAAATTTCATCAACCTAGCTGTAACGGTACTCAAGTTATCGTGTTTACACACGGACAGACAGACACACAGACACACACACACACAGACATACGGACAAGATTGCAAAATTATGTTTTTCCGTATCAGTGAGGTGTAAAACGTCGAGATTTGTAAAAATCTCGATTTTTTTTTTTATGCACGATTACAATACTTTCTCTATACTACGTATATACGAGAAAGTAAAAAGCGCATAATAGTGCGCAATATTATTAGTACTTTTAAAATTTACATTAGTTTTTTGAGAAATCGGAAGTAGCGTAAATTACTACTTCCAGTCAACGGAAATTACTCAAAATTTAACAGAAGGTAGAGAATTAGATCTTTTACTTACATGTGAAATTTCATTTATCTATCTGAAATAGTACTCAAGTTATAGGCTTTTAAAAAATTCAAAGTAGGAAAAGTACCACTTCCGGTTATCGGAAATCGCTCAAAAGTTGATACGGATCTACGATTTTGATAAAATACTTATATATGAAATTTCATCAACCTAGCTGTAACGGTACTCAAGTTATCGTGTTTACACACGGACAGACAGACAGACACACAGACAGACACACACACACACAGACATACGGACAAGATTGCAAAATTATGTTTTTCCGTATCAGTGAGGTGTAAAACGTCGAGATTTGTAAAAATCTCGTTTTTTTTTTTTTGCACGATTACAATACTTTCTCTATACTACGTATATACGAGAAAGTAAAAAAAGCGCATAATAGTGCGCAATATTATTAGTACTTTTAAAATTTACATTAGTTTTTTGAGAAATCGGAAGTAGCGTAAATTACTACTTCCAGTCAACGGAAATTACTCAAAATTTAACAGAAGGTAGAGAATTAGATCTTTTACTTACATGTGAAATTTCATTTATCTATCTGAAATAGTACTCAAGTTATAGGCTTTTAAAAAATTCAAAGTAGGAAAAGTACCACTTCCGGTTATCGGAAATCGCTCAAAAGTTGATACGGATCTACGATTTTGATAAAATACTTATATATGAAATTTCATCAACCTAGCTGTAACGGTACTCAAGTTATCGTGTTTACACACGGACAGACAGACAGACACACAGACAGACACACACACACAGAGACATACGGACAAGATTGCAAAATTATGTTTTTCCGTATCAGTGAGGTGTAAAACGTCGAGATTTGTAAAAATCTCGTTTTTTTTTTTTGCACGATTACAATACTTTCTCTATACTACGTATATACGAGAAAGTAAAAAAAGCGCATAATAGTGCGCAATATTATTAGTACTTTTAAAATTTACATTAGTTTTTTGAGAAATCGGAAGTAGCGTAAATTACTACTTCCAGTCAACGGAAATTACTCAAAATTTAACAGAAGGTAGAGAATTAGATCTTTTACTTACATGTGAAATTTCATTTATCTATCTGAAATAGTACTCAAGTTATAGGCTTTTAAAAAATTCAAAGTAGGAAAAGTACCACTTCCGGTTATCGGAAATCGCTCAAAAGTTGATACGGATCTACGATTTTGATAAAATACTTATATATGAAATTTCATCAACCTAGCTGTAACGGTACTCAAGTTATCGTGTTTACACACGGACAGACAGACACACAGACACACACACACACAGACATACGGACAAGATTGCAAAATTATGTTTTTCCGTATCAGTGAGGTGTAAAACGTCGAGATTTGTAAAAATCTCGATTTTTTTTTTTTGCACGATTACAATACTTTCTCTATACTACGTATATACGAGAAAGTAAAAAGCGCATAATAGTGCGCGATATTATTAGTACTTTTAAAATTTACATTAGTTTTTTGAGAAATCGGAAGTAGCGTAAATTACTACTTCCAGTCAACGGAAATTACTCAAAATTTAACAGAAGGTAGAGAATTAGATCTTTTACTTACATGTGAAATTTCATTTATCTATCTGAAATAGTACTCAAGTTATAGGCTTTTAAAAAATTCAAAGTAGGAAAAGTACCACTTCCGGTTATCGGAAATCGCTCAAAAGTTGATACGGATCTACGATTTTGATAAAATACTTATATATGAAATTTCATAAACCTAGCTGTAACGGTACTCAAGTTATCGTGTTTACACACGGACAGACACACACACAGACACACACACACACACAGACATACGGACAAGATTGCAAAATTATGTTTTTCCGTATCAGTGAGGTGTAAAACGTCGAGATTTGTAAAAATCTCGATTTTTTTTTTTTGCACGATTACAATACTTTCTCTATACTACGTATATACGAGAAAGTAAAAAACATGTTAAAAATAGGGGATAAAATACAAGGAAGTTATGTATGGACATTTTTCAGAAATGTTTTAAGTCTTAAGATCTTGAGTCCATCGTGTATGATGGGATTCTGACCCTAGTCAGGAAAATATGCTGACCTAGTCAAATAAAGTAAAATTTACCCCTTTCAAACCTAACGGTCTATGTGGCAAAATGAAGTAGAGTTCACTTGTTTCTGTGACCTCGGCATATGAAGAGATAGAGTGGTCAGCACTATGCCCAGCCGCCTTTCCCTAACGGGGTGGACTCAGGGACGGTCTACTGACTTGTACCCGGATTCGAACTCGATACTTACGGGCTAGCAGTCCAGCTCTCTACCGCTAGACCACTCCGTCCCACACAAAAAAAAATATGGAACGAATTTGTGTGTCATCCTAGTCATGTGCTGATGTCAAAAAAAAAGCATTAGTTTACTGTACCTGAACCTAAACCCGTTAGATCTGAAACGATTCTTCATTTATAACTAATTTACTCTCTGTAAAGAAACCAATGGATACTTTTTTTAGTTAACACCGTATTTACATGACGTACCGACTTGGTGGGATTCTCCAACTGCACTTGAAAAACTTGACTGAAATCCTCGACCGCCTGGTCCCAGCCTTTCGCGGCTACACCCAAACACAAACCAAAACTAAAAGCCTTCCAGAATAAGTACTTCACACTGTAGCCATCACTGCATGTTCGTACAGGTTCCTCCACGCCCACCTCTATGCTGTTCTCTTGCTTAGGCCATGCTGGTGGCGGCGATTTCGGGGATCGGAAGCGTTTCAATAAATAAAAGAAAATCCCGAACGAAAGGAAACATCCGCCGAGGGTGTCGAAAGTCGAGTCGATGATGTACCCGGAAGTGGAGTGGTTGGAGTGGTACTGGAGGTGAAGCCCGGCTTGAGCCCGGTGGACCGTGCCGTCAAAGGCGTCAAGCCAGGTCCTGAACTCGAAGAGCACCACCCCGATACGTCGGTCGTAGAGATGGTCCGATGACATGAGTTTACCGGATAGGAACCCGCAAATGAGGTGCGCTGCGGAGATCATGTTGGGAGAGATGAAGTAGAAGACGGAGCTGAAGTGTGTGAGAAGTTCGAAGTATTCGGTGCTGGGCGCTATGATGAATTGACTGGGGTGGTCGTTGAGTAGACCTTTGATGGACAGGTGCGTGAAGGGTGTGTAGATCTCGTCCGGGGAACCCGCGCGAGAATCTTTCACGAGATCGGCAGTTCTAAACCGGTCAAAGAGAAACACGTCCATGATGAAAAAGTAGGTCAGAAGTAGCGTCACTAGGATGATCCAGCAGTTTTTGGTCAAGCTGCCGGAAAAATATTTACTTTCACAGAGAATTCTTCTTGGCCAGGACGGCGGGGGCGTCCAGTATGCGGTCAGCTCTGGACAAGGACATAACGACCATTTGTGGCCGTCCAACCTAGTTTGGGTGATGAAAATACAATCATTATAATAAAAAATACACTAGGATTATATTTAAGGCCAAGGCTAGGATCAAGACTACAGTTTAGCTAGTTAACAAAACAATAGCTCCTCGTTGCTTCACCGGCGCTGTAGTAAATGTTGATGATTGTATCTCCATATCTATTGGTCACATTATCAAATACGTACTCCTAGAGTGGACACGTCACCTAACTTTGACCACAGTTGACATCCCATAATAGTTATCCAATAAAGATCTGCGAGTCAGCATAAGCGATCCTCCGAAAATGGAGTCAAGCTTTTTGAACGATTTGTAGCTTGCACATCTGTTATCCCAAACAATCAGAACCATTTTTTTAAATGACGTTATACTTCAGCCCACCACCGACACCCCCACCCCTATCTCCCGATCAACTAAAATATCAAATGATTTTTATCAGTATTTGGTAGTATCTATATTGGTTCACAAAAATCTTTTTAAATGCTAAATATCTGGTAAAATTAAGTTTTTAAAATTATTTGGGTTTTTGCTTAAATACTATCCAACTTTCCCACATTGTCACTAATGTAGGAATGTGACAGTTTGTGTAAAGTATTTCATGTTTACACAACAGTGGGGGGATAGAGACGGCACTATAAAGATAATTCAAAACCAGCTACAGTTTTTATATATTTTTAACAAAATAATTATCAAGGCAAAAATGCACAAAAATTATGTTTTAACATTATTCTTATTTCAATTTTTGGGTCAGCTGTGGGGCCATAAACAACAGCCTGCCCCCTACCCCAACACTTGCGGGGTCTGGCGGAATGGTTGTTCCGCCACTGACCCCGAGGCAAACTTTGCGATACTATGTGAAAATATTGATCTCATTATAATCATATGCCACGGCAGACTGCTAAACCAAGTGACCTACAAGTAGGCCAAGTAATTTTGCTAATTCATACAGGCGTATATGATCAATACAATTCTTAGCATCTAAAAAATAGAATACACAAACCGTTCAATTGACATCTTAGATATACCACCTCAATAGGATCGGCTTCAGGCCCGTGGTGTTTTTGGTGTATATCTACACGTTTTTATTTAACATGTTTTCTCGTGATTCGTCAATCATGGATGGAAACGTACGGACGAAATTTCGACCACTCCTACGGGACCTAATTTCCTGTTTTAATATATGCACAAGTGAAGTAGAAAATACAATTATTTTCTTTAAATTAAATAATGCACTACTATTTATAAAACTAGAAATAAAATCGTAAGTGGTCGTAAAATGTGTAGCAATTGATATTCAGTTGCAGATGATTAGTTCTACTAACTTTCCTTTGTTTTAAGCAGTATTTGAATTTCGGTGTATCACGATATGAATATTTTATGAGCAGACTATAGACTATATTAGTGAGTACGTACGATCTGTGAAGCTCTATGTAACCTATGTTTCCAGATGTACTAACAAATTTCAAAATCTTAAAACGAAGAAAAAACCAACTCACTTATTAGTGATTGCCTTGTTGGCTTGCTAGTAATAATAAAATAAAGATAACAGTTTTAAAAAACTTAGCAACTTACTGTAGGCCTACTGAAGGCAGGTTCATTGTATTAACAGTTTTCTTAAACTATCAATTTAAGTTATTACCTTTTTAATTTAAAAAAAAAGGTGTTTAGGCCCTACTTAATAAAACATTTATCCCCTAAAAAAACAGCACGATCAAAATGAGACATTTTTTAACTACACCGAAACAACACATTAGTAGCCTAGCTCGGTAGCTTAGACAACACGTGTAGCTTGGTCACATGACCAAGTGTTATACTAAACTCGGCATGTAATTTAATAGTCCATTTCAATTAATTTCAATTACAGCTATCGACTCCATTACATTCGTTCAGCTAATGAATGTCACCAGATGGCACAGTATAACCAATAGCTCGTCAAACAAAGAGATAATATATGTAAATCCTAATTTAATTATCTTTCACTGAGACTATTTGGAAAAAAAGTAAAAACGAAAACAATAGTTACTATGTTCATCCTAATATATAAAACGCCATGTGCGCTCTTCTCTCTCTCTCTCTCTCTCTCTCTCTCTCTCTCTGTCTGTCCGCAAAAAATTTTCGCCGGACATCACGTCAGAAACGGCAGCGATATATGGAGAACTTTATACGGACTTTTGTTGCAAATAATATGTTAGATGTTTTAAATGTATAACCACAATTTTATTTAAAGACGAAAAATAAAAATTAAAGGCGTATTCGAATGTAGAGAAACAGTATTATTTATGCAACCGGAAAAGCATTAATAAATGTGAAAAAGAACGCATAAAACTGTGACGTCACTATTGCTTATACATTAACTAATGACGTCATCTGCCGTGTTTAGAATACAAAGAAATGAACTATTTCATTCAAATTTGATTTAGATCTACGTACACTATGAAATGTATACAATACAATTTTTCCGGCCTAAACTCATAAAATTTATTTTATGTATTTGGATTCTAGATCTAGAGATTCTAGATCTAGACTAAATCTAACTAAATCTAAATCTACGCAATAACTAGATTTAGACGTAGACGCTAAGATCTAGATTTAGACTCTAACTTCTCTAAAATCAATTCCAAAAATAAATTTCTATATTAGGACTAAACTATTTCAAGACTTATTTATTTTATACAAAATCTTTGTTTGGAACTGGCTAATTTGGGATAAAAAAATTAATTTGAAAGAATAGGCATATTCGCGTAAGTTAAGATGTTAGTGTACATTAAACCACGCAGGTGGTGCGGGTTCGAGACACACCAAGTCAACTTGGTTAATGTATTTTTTTTAATTATGCTCGGGCTAAACTTAAAAAAAAAATTCTTTTAGGAATCTAGATCTAGATCTAGATTGTCGGGTGTCCGGTAGGGCACTTCCCGGCGCCGCAGGCGCTTCAAATTTGGCATGACCTTGCCTTAGGGCGACAGAACACGGGGGGCCGGTTGGCCGAAAAGTCTACGATGAGGGGGTCAAAACTGACCTCGACTGACCGGTACCTTATATGAGCTATAAATTTTAAAAAAAATGTCCACGGAGGAACCTCTTCATAACTCTTGAGGTCGTAGACCGACCCTCGGGCGAATTAATTAAGCATTCACATTCTCAATATTTTCGAAAGCCTAAGCGAAGCTGGGCAGCATGCCTAGTGGTCTTATAGTGAGCTGTGGTTCACGCTATGTTTACCTTCGCGGAGTCGGGTTTAGTGACGGCTATTAGGGGCAGATAATTTAGTTTGAAACGATTTTAAACGTTGGGGAGGGGGGGGGGGAAAGGGAGGGGGGGTTATGGTCCTTAACGAGCTACTTATAGTGTTTTAAAGAAATATTTTCAGTGTCAGGGTTGGTACTGTCGAATTCACAAATTATGAATTACTGAAAAGTAGAAAAAACGACGACTAAATAGCGGCGTATGTTATGCCGCGGACCGGCTCGTATATAATAATATATAATAAATTAGCCTTATATATATATATATATATATATATATATATATATATATATATATATATATATATATATACATATATATATATATACATATATATATATATATATATATATATATATATATATATATATATATATATATATATATATATATATATATATATATACATATATATATATATATATATATATATATATATACTTTATTTCTTTGGGGTGACACCCGACCTAGCGACGCCACGGCATATATATATATATATATATATATATATATATACTTAAAAAGATAGGGTCTATATATAAAACAAATAAAGAACATTTTCAAAAGACTACATGTAGGTATATCAGAGTCCCTGAAGACTTACCTTAGATGCAGTTTCCTGTAATCTCCAGCCTGGTCCAGCATTGTTCCAGAGTTGACGTGTCGCTCAGCGTCCACGCTCTAGCCAAACCCTCGTCAAGTGAGAGAGTACATTTCAAAATCTGTTTGATCGATAATCCGTTCATTGATTATTTTTCATTCATCGAACTCTTATTTTTCTCTCGTTATGTTTAACCTTCCTTGAGATCGATAATCGAAGTGTAACAAAGTCAAAGAGGTTAAAGACTTACTTAACATTTTTTTTTGTTGACTGCCTTGTGTTGACGACGTTTTTGACCGTGCTGGACTTAAAGTGCAGGGTTTTTTTGCGTCTAATATAGACCCTACATACTTTTGCAGCTGTATGTGGGCTATTACTTGACTCCGCCTGATGAATGGCACGTAGTCGTTTGGTGTTGACATTGAATACAGGTTTAGACCAGGTACGTTGTAGCAAGTAAACTCCAGAACCGGAAGGGGGAGGGGGTGAGGACGACCTTGATTTCAACATGGTTTTCTTTTTGGCTTTTCTTCCATAGCCTTAGTCCAGGGGTCTCCAAACTTTTCAGTCCGAGGGCCGCATTAACTATCAAATTTCAGTTCGGGGGCCAATTTCTTCCAGCATGTCTTTGATTTTTCTTGGCAAAGTTTCTCAGCCATCACTAACAAACGATTTTTCCTTGGACGAAAAGATCTCCGCGGGCCGGATGAGAGGACTTCGCGGGCCGCATCCGGCCCGCGGGCCGTAGTTTGGAGACCCCTGCCTTAGTCCATCCGAGAACAAAAAACAAGGCAAGTTGTTTTATTATAGGGTTGTATCTCCTAGATGGGTTCGTGTCCCTAGCTATCGAGCCTCATTGACATACCTATTTTTGTATATATATATCTTTTTTAACTTTCTAAAACTAGTGTTAAATTGCATACATTGTTAAGAAACACCAAACACATAGACTTTGGCACAAATGTGAGCTCTATTTTACGGTAGAATTCGGAGACGTGGAACTTAACACAGCAACACATAATCTCATGAGAAAACATTACTGATGTACGCACGATGGAGGTATGCAGACAAGTAGCCAAATTTAAATTTTATCAGAGGGAAAAGGGCCCACCTGTTCCTTGGGCCTAGACGCCTTGTTTATGCTAGCTTTACGGTAGCTACGCCACAGGCTTTAAGGGGGGAAAAAATTTTCAAAAATGATTTAATCTCCATGTTGTTTTTTTAATACCAACATTTTTGTTGTACCCAACTCATCGTAGTTGTAGTGTGATTCTAGAAATATTGTGTGAAGGTTAGAGGTCTGTAGAAATTTTGCACGTTAAATGGTGTTTCAAAACAGTAAGAAAAATATATGTGGTATAGAATTGGTCTACTATGCATTGCATGTCCTGAAAGCTATAATACGACTGTCTTCCCTTCTTAATTACGATTTAGCCTTCTAAGAAATTTATAGGTAATTTTCTTCCAGTCCAAGCATATCAGCTGCCAGTTTCTTTTGTACTTAAAACTTTCAAAAGAATTTCCCAACTAAAAGTAAATAATCATCGGCTATGTATTAAGTTAAATGATACTTTAGCTTGTATTTTTATTTTTCCTTCTGGTTTATTAAGCATCAGTTTTTTTGGGGCAGGAAAGGCAGAGTATCTACAGGGGTATGAGGGGGGGGGGGGGTATTGTCCTGTTCTCATGAGGGAGATAAGTGACTAATGTTTGCATGTCAGGTGAATTTTTTATCCTCCACATGCAACGTGAAAGAAGACCCAAATATGCTGTAAAAAAGAGAAACTTAAGTTGAAATATTGCACAGTGTTTTATTATAAGCAACAGCCAGTGACATGAAAAATGTGACGCTGTATCAGTGAAGATTCTGAATTGGTCCTGGAATAGTTGGTTTGGTGACTTGAATGTGGGTGACTGGTGTTTCATTTTTTTGCATTCTTGCTGGTTGAAAGATAGCATTGTTCACTGTCTTGTTTCTTGCAGTATGACAATAATCTCAGCGCCGTGCTTTCATTTCTTGCGCTCTTGCAGGATAACAAACAGCTCAGCGTGTTTCAACAAATTGTTTGACAACGACTGATCAGAGCTAGAAATTAAAACAAAATTGTTAGTGCCTGAATCAATACTATACGTATCTTGGTTCAAAAATATAATTGTTATACCCAGAGTTTCTACCAGGCATCTCTTCAGGGGTTGGGGGGGGGGGGGGCTGTGCCTCTCTAGAAGAAAGTCTAAAGCCCCCCCCCCCCCCCATAGAAATGGAATTTATATAGAAAATATATAAATATATACATTTAACAGTGTCGTCGTCATCATCCCCGAGAGAAACAAGTAATTAAAAAAAGTCTAGTGACAATTTTAGCGCAATTTCCTTGTGTTATCTAAAAATAGCTCTGTCGTAGCGTAAATCAAGAGCAGGGTTAGTAAAACCATTGGTTAGTTATTAAAACGTTTTTTATTTAAAAAAATGTCAGTATTTTACATGTTTTATTTACAATAGAGTAACATGACTAAAAACCATTGCGCGCCCAGCTACCGAACGTGACGTCGCAGCCATTGAACGTGATGGCGCAGCTATTGAACGTGATGACGCGTGTGGTGTAGTTGCATAAAATGCCTACTAATTCGGTCCAAATTTTAATTAATTCAAAAAAATGTTTGTGACCGAACGAAAGGATATTTTTGAAAACTTTCTTTGGCAATATTGTTCTAAATTATGGCAGGAATCGATTGGTACATGTTTCAAGTCGCTAAGTGGTCTGGTTGCCGAGATATGGGCCAAAAACTGCATTTTTTTGAGGTTTTTTGGCTTTTCCGGGAAATCCATGAAAGAAACCCGGAATTTTTATGGCCTATGTTCATCCTCGTAACTTGCTTAACATAATTGCTTTTGGAACTAGTCCTCGATATTGCTTCGTTGAGGAGGAGATACGACTTAAAGCTGCGGACACACATCCATCCATCCATTCCCAGAAAAGACGAGTTAATAAACGCAATTCTCCGGAATGGAAATTGCGCTAAAAAGTCTGGAAGATACTGGTAATACCTTTTTCAAATTCCTACAACAATATCTTATTTCTTTCAATATATAAATATCAATGAGATTCTTTAATTCCTAGAAAGTAAAAAGTGGAATGCTTTTAGCAGCATTAGAAGCTCTCTTCACTGTGGTCTAGCTTCTGCTGTCAGATGTTGTATCTGTACTCTACCAGGGTTACCAGATCTGTCTGGACTCACATGCCCAGGTATTCACCCATCTGACCATCACTTGGTCACTTGGCAACATGTTTGGTAAGCTGCACACAAACTACCATTGGACAGCTTTGTGTTTTGGTCTAAAGACGTAACGTCAGCAGTGTTTTTTAGCGCAATTTCCATTCTGGAGAATTGCGTTTATTAACTCGTCATTTCTGGGAATGGATGGATGAATGAATGAATGTATGGATGAATGTGTGTCCGGGCTTTAAGTCGTATCTCCTCCTCATCGAAGCAATATCGATGACTAGTTCCAAAAGCAATTATGTTAAGCAAGTTACGAGAATGAGCATAGGCCATAAAAATTCCGGGTTTCTTTCATGGATTTCCCGGAAAAGCCAAAAAACCTCGAAAAAATGCAGTTTTTTGCCCATATCTCGGCAACCAGACCACTTAGCGACTTGAAACATGTACCAATCGATTCCTGCCATAATTTAGAACAATATTGCCGAAGAAAGTTTTCAAAAATATCCTCTCGTTCGGTCACAAATTTTAAAATTACATAAACACCTACAAACCGATCGTTCTTCTAGCTTGAACGCACCCCAGCATTATACGTCAGAGCTATTTTTAGATAACATAAGGAAATTGCGCATAAATGTCACTAGACTTTTTTAATTAACTTGTTTTACCTGGATAGTTTATATTTTATTTTTAAATCAGTCATTGCAAACCATTTAATTTATTAAGTACTAGCTGAAGAAACCAGTATGTAATGTAGGAAAAAAAATTTCAACTGCTAGCATGGGATACTAAAACTAAATAAAAGATAATGCCAATGTTTTTTATATTACCTGACCACATGTCCAAGATGTGACTCAGCGCCAAATTTCTGCTGGACGTACCTCAGCACATCCTGCTTCAGCCCTCTCACCCTCATCCCTTGAGCCTGATCTGAGATCTTCTCCGATGAATTGTTTTCATACATGCATCCATTGTTACACATATGGGGACACTTGCAGCACCTCTTGGCAGCCTTTGGCGTGGGTCTCTCAACTGGAGCTTCACCTCGATCATGATGTTTTCCAGCGCCACAAAGTTCTGGATCCACGCTGATAAATTCTGGCTGTTTTTCTGAGACCGGCGTCTCTAGGTGGGGTGGCCTTCTCCTCCTCCTGGGGCGAGCAGGCCCTTCCTGTTTTTTATGGAGCTCCAAAGCTCTGGACAAGTCATCAGGATTGAGGTTTAAAGCCTGGCTGATTTCTTTCAGAGAAAAGTTCTCACGAGTCCGCTGTGGCCTCTCTTTACTAGGGTGATGTGGTGGCTTCTGGTCTCTTGTTTTAGTACACTGCTGCTTGTTCATGTTACTGTCTGCACTTCTAGCCTGGCGGAAAAATTTTGGGTATGCAATGAGGTGTGGGTATTTTAGGATATGCAATGAGGTGTGGGTATTTTAGGATATGCACTGAGGTGTGGATATTGTAGGATATGCACAGAGGTGTGTGATATATATCATTATATTTTATACAATTAAAATTTCTTAAAAATCTCAATAAAACATAACACGCTGTATTCTATGATGAATCCTACAAATTTGGTAAATAAATTAAAGTGTAATAAATTTTAAAAAAGCAAAAACACATTTGTTTATAAAATATGAGAAATATGTTAGACTCAGCTGATAGATGATGATGTTTATGGATGTGGGCCTTAGGTGACAGGAGATGTGTTAATTTGTAAATCTGAATCAGGGAGTGAGAATAAGAGATGGAAACAGACATAGTGCTGTTGTGAAGGAAAGCTTTGTTAGTGACAGTGTGTTAAACTATATCCTTCACTTAGAACCTATAGAGGAGCAATTGTGTTGTTTGAAACATGCAGTATATGTAATAAGCATTACTCCAACTGTTTTGGAAACTAGAAGTATTTACTCTAAATACCACTGCTAACATTCAGTCTCCATGGTTACAAGTAGATTTAACAATCCTCATTAATTAAATCTCAACCTCTATCAATTAATGAAAATTTAAAAATTTTTAAAAAGCTCAAATTTTCAAAAGAATAATTTGTAGAACAAAGATCTCATGTTGAGTCAATAGAGTTATTTTTAAACAGTCATCACCTGAACTTTCTGGGGGGCGTGTTCTTCCTTTGATGCAGGACAGGAGGTGCACTGGGCAGCCTGGACCAAAATATTCCTTAAAATAGCGCACTTCTGCTTCAGTAGTTTTTCAAAACGGGTCACCACCTCAGACTTGTCAATTAGTTTTTTTAACAAGTCCTGAATCCTCAGCACCAACTCATACTTTGAAACATGCTAAAAATGAAGACAACAACACTTTGTTTTAGAAATAGGTACTTTATGTATTTTTACAAAAGTTTTAGTACATTTTAGTAATAGCCCTAGACATATAGGTATAATATCATTAAAGGTAAACAGATAACTAAAAATGTCAAGCATTTTATTAAAGTAAATAAATGCTTAGTTATGTAAGAAAAAAAGGTTGCTTTATTATCTACTAGAATACCCGTCATCCGTTGGATAACTGTGGGTTTCGGGGGTCATCCATAAAAAAACATCACGTCTGTCACTCAGAGGCATAGCGAGCCTTCCCGGCGCCCGGGGACAAACATTTCGATTTTAACCCCCCCCCCCCCCCAAGATTTCGATTTTCAACCCCCCCCCCCCTCAAACTTTTGATGTGCACCCCCCCCCCCACTCAAACTTTCGATTTGAACCCCCCTCAACCTTTCAATTTATTTTTCGAAACCATTTTGGCGCCCCAACATATGTCCCCCCGCCCCCCCTTCCCCCCTCCACCTCCCCCGCCTCCCCTCCCCCCCCCGCCCCCCCCCCCCCCCCCTTCTCGCTACGCTACTGCAGTGTCACTTATCGTCACAAAAAACAGACCCCACATTCAAAAATATGTTTCTTATCTTTTAAAAACACCGAAAACACCGATTTCGGACTATCCCTTCATATACTGACGTCACATGTGACCTACTCAACTCTACTTCACCTGCCCAGTGTCCCGCCAAGTCTCAGACAACATGTTTTTATCGTTTAAAAACGATTCCAGCCGATCATGTCTCTGACCACACTATCCTTTTATATGCTTAGGACAAAGAAACAGATGAACTCTACTTCACCTGCCCTGTATCCTGGCAAGTTCAGATAGGCAACTTTATCATTCACATCTAAAAAAAAAAAAAATTGAAAAAAAAATATCATTGACATATTGGTCTAGAACCTGTGCCACCCACATGAGAGCGGGCTACGCTACCAACTTAGCTATTTACTCGTGACGTCACAAATGAATTTTTATACTATACTTTTGAGTCTCCGCGCATAGATCTTGATATTAGGCTAGTAGTAGTAACTTTCAAATTAAATTTAATCTTAAATTAGCCAAACAAAGATTTATATAAAATAAAGAAGTTCTGAAATTAGCTAGATCTAGATAATTCTATCTAGATCTATATTCTACGACTCGCTTGCTTAGGTCTTATTAAGTTTAGTTTTTCTTGCTAGATCTAGATCTAGATCTAGATCTAGATCTAATCATTAGCTACGCTGATAGGCCCGGAGCGAGCATTTCAAAATTACCATATTCCAAACAAAGATTTATATAAAATAATAAAGGTCTAAGATAGTTTAGTATATAGAAAATCATTATTATCTAAATCTAGATAGAATTATCTATATTTTAGATCTACGACTGAGCTATATTTAGAATTTACGTTTATAATTTAGCAAAATTCCGGTATAGAAGCAGCGTATGAATCTTAAGCTGCGCAAATACGCCCTGGAGCCTGCACTTCAAAATTTGCATAGTCGAAACAAAGGTTTATACAAAATAATAAAGGTCTAAAATATTTTAGTATATAGAAACTCATTATTATCTAAATCTAGATAGAATTATCTATATTCTAGATCTACGACTGGTTTGCTTAAGTCTCGTTTCTTTTTTGGTTTGTATTAAGATCTATAACTAATAAATTTTTGATTTGACCTAGATTTAGATTCTAGATCTAGATCTATAAATAAATAACTTTCTTGGACAGATTGTAGATCTAGAGAAATTTATTGTAAAACTAAATGAAAAAAGACAGTTGAAAATTGATATAAGTGTTGGAACGTAATAAATACAGCAAACGGACGTATTGTTAAAGTTATGACCGACAGAAAATTAGATTTGATTTGACCTAGATTCTAGATCTAGATCTAGATGATAGATCTATAAATAACTTTCCTTCGACAGCTGATCTTTAGATCTAGAGAAATTTATTGTAAAACTAAATGAAAAAAGACAATTTAAAATTGATATAAGTGTTGGAACGTAATAAATACAGCAAACGGACGTATTGTTTAAGTTATAGCCGGCAGAAAATTAGCTTTGTAACGCGTTAAACTTTTGAATGGGCCACAAAGTCTATGATGGAGTCCGCCATTTTTATTGAACCAAAAAGTAAACACATCAAGGGACGTCACTATCCCCACAAAGTTTATTCAAAGTATTAACATTTAAAAAAAAATACGGTTAATTTAACTATGAATAAATCAATAAATTAATTATAGTCTTTAAATAAATTTGTGATTAACAGTCTGTCTGCATTAAAAAATTATTCTCTACCTACATACTATTTTACAGCTCTACAGATAGAGTCGAACATATCGCAATAGTCGATCAGGCAAACAAACAAACAAACAAAAAAACAAAAAAATAAATATTCAAACATGTAAACAAACTTGACTTTTAGTAGTATATAGATTAGCATGAACAAATTTGAAAATAGTTTAAATGTATTCCACAGTAGAAGTTATTTTGGATGAACTTTTAGGAAATGTAAAATACCTGAAGAGACTGGAAATAGGAGGAGAAGTTGTCTTTCTTGGGTTGTGACTTAGTACTGTTTCTATGATGACTGCAATATCACCAAAATAGTTACACAAACTGTTGAAATCAGATCTACAGTATTGTATCATTGAAATTAGATTTTTAGAATTATTTTAAACATAGATGCTCATTTACTTAACAGTAGTTTTTTTTTTAAAAACACATAAATATATTCTGCATAAATTGTAATTCTGTACAAAAATCTAAGGATATTTTGGTGTTGGGTATGGAAAAAGCTATAGCTTCAAAAAGGATTATAACTGACAAAAATCTGAGATTACAAGAGTCTTGGGAAATAATTTTCAAATCTTTTGTTTCACATAACTGTAGCAAGATATGGAAACAAATCAATGGTACTAGAGACCAGAGAAAAATACAAGACCTAAACCTACTTCAATCTATTATTGAGTTCAGCAGTCTGAATAGCTCTTGAGACCAAGCTCTTTTTAGTTTTGGACTGCTCCAACTGCTTTATTTTATCCTCATACAGCAAGCTGCGTATCTGCATCATGTCCTCCAGGACTCTGTTCTTCTCCTTCAGAAGTTTGATCTGACTTTTACTGTTCTGACTTTGGGAGACAACCTCATTATTTTGAGATAAGAGCTGTAAATAAATATATATGAGTTAACTCCCCTGGTAATATGGCAGGAAAGATAATCTTTTCATTAAAAAAAAACAGTTTACATTAGGTTTCAGTATTTACCAGCATTTTACAGAACAACACACATAATAACATAGTTTTGTAACTTATTTAAACACAGTACAACCAGAAATAAGAACCAAACCCACCTTATCACTAAACATATCCTTTCCCTCCTTAAATAGAGTCCTTTTAAATTATCAAAAACAAATTAAATAAAATAAAAAAGGACGGAGGATCAACTTGAACTTGAGTAAAAATCAACTAAGTAAAAGTTGCCTTTTGGATGGCTTCATTCTGAGACTCCAGCATGGAGACTGTTGAATGTAACTCCCTCTGAAGATTCTCCTTCTCTTTCTCCAGCTGCTCAGCTTGTGCTTTGATGCCCGTCTCCTCCGACTTGACTTTCTCCAGGTTGACTTGGGATGACTTGACGTCTGCTTGCAGTTTCTCCACCAGTTTGGTCATCTTGTTCTTGTAGACCATGTTGATTTCTTTTTCCTTTTTCAGGTACGTCTCGCAGAGCTGGAGCTTCTTTTTCAGCTGCTCTGACATACTGTTGCTGTCAACTCCAGGGGCAGGACCTGGAAAATGTACATAATCAGGAAAATATGGAATAGTCGATGAAAACTATATGAAGATAAAAAATACATTCTAAGGAAAATACAGAAAAGTTAATGATAAAGATTTCAGGATTAAATACAATATATATATATATATATATATATATATATATATATATATATATATATATATATATATAATGTGTTTTGTTATTGGTAAAGTATTGTTATTGTTCATTATTTCATATGATTTGAAATTAAAAAAGACTATCTAAGGAATAGAAATACCCAAATACCTCTGAAGCTTACCATTAAAGAACATTTTTCTACCTCTCAGACTTACCTTTAAAGAACACCTTTCTAATCCACCTCACAAACTTTCATTATGACATTATAAACTTATCTTTAACATAATCTTTATACCTCGCAAACATTTAGACCAATATTTTAACACCACAAACTCACCATCTGAGCTTGCACTGTCTGATTTCTCACTAGTATCTGATTCGCTTGACTGTGTAGTCAAATTATTATTATCTGTGTTGATCATCTGTTGAGCATATCCAACCTACCAAACATAAATAGACACAGAACCCCTTTACTCTTTTTAAAAAGAGGATCTTTTTTTTTTTTTAAGATTTCAAAGGGGCAAAACGTGTATAACATGTAGATGTTTAGACCTAACACCTCAGATCAACAAGTTGGGTTGAAACTGTCATTTGAAAAGGTTATCATTTGCTATCACAAAGGTGATTAGCCAGCGGCTTACAAACATGGTAGTTCTTAGAGGTGACATCAATAAAAAAAATTAGCCAACTGGGGTTGAGTAAACAAATGTGATAGAGTATATAATTTTTGCTTTAAAAATTTTAAATATATTAGTATTATTTTAGAATGAGTTATAAGAATCTGACATTATTGGAGAGAGGGTCTGGCTATTTTAAGGAAATACAACTAGAAGGGTGGAAGATTAAAAACAAATTCCCAAATATGTTGTGTTGTCATTTAGGGATGAACCCCATCAAGTATGGCCATTACATGTCTATAACATGCCATAAGAGATTACTCACCTGTAACTTGGGGTTATTAAGCAGTCTAGAAAGTCTGTCTTTCTCTGTTTGTAAGGAAGAATTCAGTGTGCCTGTATCCTGTATTTTGTCCCTACTGGCCAGCATTTTCTCTGCTGTGGTGAAGACATTGTCCATTGATGGGAACTCATTTAGTGCATTTCTAAGTTCTGGTTTACAATTATTCTGTGGGAACAGTTATATCAATTTTTAAATTCTCTTTTGTGGTGATTCTGTGTTAATCAGTTAATGGTTATTTATTCTGGTTTGTAGTTATTCTGAGTATGTTTTTGTAATCTGTCTACGTCTTTTAAATTAACTTAAAGAGAAGTATGGAGCTTTTATTGCAATAAATGTAAACAACAGAGTGTTAGTGTACAAGATTATAAAATACCAGATCGTTTTCAAAAACGGAAATGAAAAAAAAACATACTCATCAAAACGTTACAAAAATCTCTGAGAGAATGCATGATTAGACATACAAAAAACACATTTTTCTTTATATATATTAATTCTGTTTGAATTGATGTATCATTTATGTATAGTTTATATAAGCCTAGAAACTGCCAAAAGCTTTCAACTATTTACTTACTGTGTTAAGAAAATCATTTTTGCCAAGTATTTCACTAATCTTTTTAAAATAGTAGTTTGGTGGATTCTCAACTGATCCTTGAAACAAATAAAATTGTATACAGTAAATACAAAAAAATTCTTTTCTTTTTAATATTTTAATACTAATTTGTCAACAAGCTTTTAAATATAGTAAAGCAGTTTCCTATTTTATGTCAATTTTTGATACCTAATACCTTCTGGAGAATCAGCGTTGCCTGACACTCCATTTTGCCCTTTCTGCAGGAACTGGACATGCCTATCCAATTGCTGCATAGCTTGAGACAATTCTTGATAGTTCTTCACCAGAGCATCCAGTTCAAAACTTTTCTTCATGTTTTCTTTTTCTTTTAACTGTACAAGTCGTAACAATGGTCTTATTCATATTTGTAATACAAGCTTGATGTAGTCTAATTTTTCTGAATCATAATTATAATCTTTGATCAAATTTAAGAAAATTATTTATGGACAAACTAAAAAAATCACTTTTATATACATAATAAAATATTTCTTAAAATATTATTTGTGTTTATATAAGCACAATGATCTGTCAAAAAAACCAATTGTTAAAAATATCACCTGTATGGACATTAAAAGCTTATCTTTTTCAGTACGTAAAACATCAACTTCCTTCTCTTGAACATTGAATCTTTCCTCTAGATTTCTGTACTGAATAGATAGTTCACACAGCTTTTCAATCTTATCTTCATAATACTCCTGTTAAAAATATAGAAACTTTACAAAGCAAGAAAAGCAAGAAACAAATCTATATTTACTAAATCAAATCAAAACACATTTTGAACATTTTGTTTTAAGTAGATAAAATGTGTATGGACAACTTTAAATTAGAATACTATAAATCACATAATATAATTTTATATGGGAGAATGCAAAATTATAAAAGTATCGTCAACATATTTTTAAAAACTAGCTTCCTCATCCTAGTGAAAAAATACATAAAATAAGCTTTTAAATATGGGAGATAACTTACCTAATTATATTTTAAATATCAAGAAACTTACAACAAACTCTTTTAACTTAACCAAAAAAAAGTTAACCACTTTCACACTTAAATTTTTAAAAAGTATTAGCTAAAAATTTAAACTCAATTTTAAAAATTAACATTATTTTTTTCTAGGTTGATCAAAAATATTCAGTATTTTTTAAAACCTAAATGAACATATTCCTTGAAACAAAAATTAAAAACAGAAACATTCTATTTCTTTGAATATAAATATTCACCTTCTGTTTTTCATAAAGTGTGTGATATTTATGAACGTCTCTTCTCAATGAAATTACTTCTAATGGGGTTTTTTTTGTTTTCGTCCTAGATGTTGCCACATGATCCATTTGATACTACATTTACATCCAACTTTTCTTACTACTTTGTCATCTGGAAAAAAAAATAGGCTCTTCATATTTTAAATGATTATTCTGTATTTTTATACAATTATTACACACAGCTCTTAATATGCATTACATCAATAATTTTTTTTAAACTTATTTATACAAATATTAGGGTCTTTCCCAAGGAACCAGATAGTCATTTAACATTTTCATAAAGGGATAGTGAGGTCATTCCACCAACTATACTTATCTGAACTTAAGTCAGAAACCCATCAGAGTTGGGTGCATTTCGTGACATCCAACTGACTTAAGTCTGGAAATTGAACATATGCTTGAAGGTTTGACCTTGCTGTCCTATAATTAATTTATAACAAACTGGAATACATCATGTACAGATCAATCTCAACTACTCAAATTACTAATAAATGAAAAAAGGAAAAATAGCCAAATACACCCTATCCATTTCATTCAAACAATGTGCTGGTCACCACTTTGTAAACCAGCAATGTAAAGTTTTTAATTTGATGTTATACCCCACTTCCACTGGTGTTCATCTGTGACTTCTTGATAGTAGACTACATTCATTTTTATTTAATATTAAATATTCTTATTTATACCTATATATCTAATCAAGTAATGTCATTCTATATAGACAATTAGTACCTCCCCCTACTCTTGTCGTCATATATCATCACAAAAAATTAAACCCCATCCTCCCTAAATTGAGGCCACATCTTCCCACATTGCAATTTTTTTCTTGTTGAAACGGATTTTTTTTCTAAAATATTAACTGACCTGACGTCATTAGGTATATTGATCAATTTTAAGTATAATTCATCACACAAAAGCCTTTCCAAACAGCAAAAATAACTTTAACAACTCTTCCTAACCCTATTCTCCCTTGCTTCCACCCACTTTTTAGGACTTTGAAGTAATAGAAGTGTTTAGAAGTGTTGTGTCATGTAATACTTAATTAATAGAAAACTGCTAAAAGACTGGACATCTAGTCTAGCTAGCAGCTAGACTTTAGATAGATATTGATCTAATTTGAATTTTGATCTACTAGTGATTCTAGTAATCAAGTAGATTTCTAGTAACATTTAGATCTAGTTGTAACAGGGGATGGCGTGGTTTTACGGTAGACTGTTTGCCAAGCTTAAAAAGTTTGAATCCCCTAACCAAACTGCCCCTCATGTCCAGAAGGTGTGATGCACTGGGGAGGAAGCAAAAGCCTGTCAGAACCCTCTAGTGACCTAGTCTTATCTAAATCTAGCAGCTGGAAACAATTGGTAACATGGGTGATAGAAGAAATACTTGAGATTCTTAAATTCTAAATCTTAACCATATTCCCGCCTACATGGAATTGATCTAGTAGTTAGGCTAAGCCGCTAATAAAATAATATATTAAATATATTAGTAGTATTAGTATTTAATTTGATTGAACAAAATGATTAAAATGAATTTTAATTTTTTATAGACTATTTATTTTTAAAACAAAAATTTTAATAACAATATCAATAATCTATATATATAATTCTCTTCTGGGAGACGTTAGAAAACAAGCTGCAAGAGCGTCTTGCCATCCCCTTTCTTCCTCTCTATCGCTACCACCCCCTCACCCACCCCCCCCCCCCCCCCTCACATGGTCTGGTGAGCTGTGTTCACGCTAAATGTTTACAAATCGTAGAGCCGGGTTTGGTGACGGCTATTAGGGGCAGATAATTTAGTTTGAAACGATTTTAAACTTAGAGGAGGTAACTAAGAGGAGGCTGCCTTCAAGGAGGGGGGGGGGGGTTAATGTTTTAAAGCAAATATTTTCAGTGGCAGCATTGGTACTGTCGAATTCACAAATTATGAATTACTGAAAAGTAGAAAAAAACAACTAAATAGCGGCGTATGATACACCGCGGGTAGGCTCGTTAATAATTAATTGAGTAGGGATGCTTTTTTTTTTAAATAAAAATTTTTTTAAAAAGGCTTGGTTTATCATTGCATTGGCCATTGGCCAAAGGCCTAGATTTCTATAATCTAGAAAATGCAAACACCCTACTGCTACTGATAATGGAATGATTGACAAATAAACATATTATAACATATGATAATAGATCTAGAAATCTAGATCTATATATAGAGAGAGAGTCTATAATAAAATATCCTTAAACTTAAATTATAAATAATTTTTTTACTCAGCTTCCATTTTTATTTTTTTATTCATGTTTCCATGGCGCTAAAAAGCTAAGACTCAGTTCGGACAAATATAATTTCTTCTCAAAGAAGACGGTAATTGTTGGCTATGCCTAGTCTACAAAATTATCATTGACAGACCTAGATTCTAGATCAAGATCTATGTTATGTAGACTTCGTGTATTATTCTATATATATAATGTTTCAAATATATTAAATATATTAGTATTTAATTTGTTTGAACAAAATGATTAAAATGAATTTTAATTTTTATAGACTATTGATTTTTAAAACAAAAATTTTAATAACAATATCAATAATTGAGTAGGGATGCTTTTTTTTTTTAAATAGAAAAGGCTTTAGGCCTAGCTTATCTTAGCGTAAAAAGACTGGCAGGTTCGACGGCATACAAAATAAAATGGGCCAAATATTAACATGAGAAGATAACTGCGGCGAGAAATGTTTGTTGTTTATTCAATCTTACTTAAAATTATTAAATTAATCTTGGTTTAGTCCGCCAATAAAATTATAACATATTCTTGAGGAATGATAGGTTATAAAATTAGAGAGGAGAATCTAGTCTACAGTCTACAGATGAACTAAATAAATCTACGTCTTCAAGATCTAGTTCTAGACTAGATCTAGATTCTACTAGAAATCTACATTCTAGTTCTACACCAGACAGCTACTGACAGTGCTACAAAATCACTGACTGAGCTAGAATAAAAAATCTTTAAAAATAAGAATAGGCTAGTTTATTGAAAGTTTATTCTTAGTTTTAGTTAGTATTATTAGTTTAAAGTTTAAGTTAGATCTAGTACTAGAAATCTGTCTAAAAGACTAGATCTAGAGACTAGTAGTAGTAAAAAAAGAACAGATTCAGAAGAGTCTAAAATTGACTCTAAAAGTAAGAACTAAGAGAAGTATTACTAAATAGTAAATAACTAAGCTAAGTGTAAAGTAAAGTAAGTAGTAATAATAAGTAATGGAGACAAGCGAGTTGACGAGATTCCTTCCATAGTGTTGTTGACATGGAATAAAAACGTGCTTTTTAGATTTAGACCGTAAAAAAAAATAAAAAAAAAAAGCTTAAGCCTAAAATTAATTTAGAAATTTTATATTTTTAGAATAAATGCTATAAAAGTTGCAAATCCAGAGAACTTGAAAATAATTTGTTGAGTTTAAGGCTACATTTCTATTTATTTTCATCAAGCCTAAGTTATAACCGGATGTTTCACTTTCGTAAGACAAATATTGATTGGCTGTACAGTAACTTAGCGATCGATAACTATTTGTTTACAAAACTTTGCAGATCAAGTTTTTAAATAACAATGCAAATTTAAAACCCCATGACCTAGTTTTCTATTTTTAGCTTACAATGTGTACAATAAAATTATGTCGGCCTATCCAATAGCAGGATGCCATTGTTTATGTCGCCATTACACGTGAAAACCAAATTGTTTTTGCTTTTTTTTAAATTTTTATTTAGTTACCGAAAATAATAAAAACATCAAATACGTCCAATCTTTAGTAAAGTCCGAAAAAAACCAGACAGACAGGATTTTATAACCATATTAATTGTAACTACGCCGTGCAAGATTTTTAAATTAATTTATGCACCTCTCAAATACCTTTGAGACTTTTCTCGCTTGTGTCCATTAAGTATTACTATTAGGCCTAATTAAATTAAGTACTGTAAGTACAGTACAAAAAAGTGTCACACTGTGAGTACTCGTAGTGTAGACTAGCCAGGTAGATTCATCTAGATCTAAATTAATCTAGAATAATAGGCCCTACTAGTAATAGGCCTAATTTTAATTAGATTTACTACTAAATTATCTTGATCTCTAACTAACTAGCTAGACTAGATTCTAAATTTCTAGATTAGAATAGTAGGCCTATTAAAAAGGAAACTCGGATTTCGGATAATTTTCAGATACCGATGTCCGATAATACTCATACATAATAAATAGATTCTCCCATAATAGGTGTGTTGGGTTGTTAGTAGTATTGTTACTTGTAATCTCGACTAATTTTTTTTTGTTAGAAATTGGAGTAAGACTTATGGTAGGACTAGGGTTAGGGATAGGGTTAGCATTGACATTAGCAAGCCAAGTGTGTATTTTACTTAACTACCAGTAACCTTACACTGCCTTACACCCCTTTTTTAAGAAGATTCTATTATCGGACACGGGTATTAATTATTCCCCCACAAAAGTAAATTTAATTTTCCTACATAATTAGTACATAACATTGCAAGAATATAAAGCTCTAGTGCCATACCATTATATTAGGGTGTCGCCTAAGATTTTAAACTTCATTATTGTTCAAGATTACTGAAACAATTAAAAACTATATTTATTTAGGCCTGCCTTTAATTTGATACAAATTTTAATTATCAAAATTAATTGGTAGCTTAAAAAATGATTTGTGTAAAAATGCATTTGTTTTTAAATGGCTACGATGATATGACTGATAAGGTGGATTTGTTTTTAAGGAGTGTTGTTGTGACGCGATGGCCATTCACTGCCATTCAGCAGAAATGTCCCATCTGCTAGATTTCTTCCCATTCAAATACATGGTGGGCAAAATGGACGGGCTTAGTTAGCTGTTGTCTCAATCAAGTTATTTTTTTAAGGCTTTTATTTTACCCTGCATAATTTTTTTTTAAATTAATGAAACTAGTTTAGTAGGACGTAATATAAAAATTTCTGTAGTATTTAGTATGGGTTGACGTGGTCGAGTCAGTCAAGCTCATGGTTGCTAAATCGAAAAGTCTCCAGTTTGAACCCTCGGGCAGATGAGGCTCGTTAGCTGGAGACAGCCACTCTTCTAGGAGAGACAACTCCAAAATAAAAAAACTGCTGCCTTGTAGTTTATTCTTGGTTGGACAAAGGCTATTGAAGCAAATCCAAAAAGAAAAGCAGGCTGAAATCAGAGTCAATGGTGCATAACCAGTTGACATGTATACTTAACTGTGTTGGAGGGGATCCATTTCAACTCTAAAATTAAGAACAAAGAAGAAGAAAGAAAGTATTTTTGAGTATTTTTACCACAATATTAAAGACAGCAATTCACGTTTTGTTTACATTAAATAATGTTTTGCTCAATATTCTCAACTATTAGACCAAAGAATGTACAAATGGCAAGTTTGCATCAAACACTAATCATCCATTATTAAAACACTTAATAATACACTTAAATAACGATTTTAAGTATATATTTCTGAAATGAACACGAAACATTGTTTAAAAAAAGGAACCGCAGTATTGTCGTTTTCGGTAGCCATAAAGACCATGCTGATGGTAACAGAAGTAGGTCAAGCGACAGGCTAATTACATGTCTACAGGTCAAGCTAGCTATGTTAAACATCATTTTTCAATTGTCCTTAAGCTACCAAAGTGCCAATTATAATACTTTTTTTTTTCAAAAGAGTGTTGTAATGACATTTTTACTTGCAGATGAACTTGATATTTCTAAAAATATTTGTTTGAAAAATATGTTTTTTTCTTATTTTAGCAAAATAGCTAAACACAAAATAATGAATGCATTCATTCACCTGAATCTTTACAAAAAAACTTTTGTGGGACAGTATGTACTCATCAATCTAAAGCTAACAAAATCTATTGATTCACAAGGATCCTAACAAAAATTTATTAAACTCAAAGCCTACAATGTTTTCTAGGTCATAGTTCCTGCACTCTATGTAACATGTAAATAAACTGGTTTTATAACTTAACAGAACCAGGATGTAGATGCTTTACTAGTTTTATACTTCTACCCCACTAAGCATGCTATCACATTTTTAATAACAGACATCTGAGGTAACAGGAAGACAATCATGGGAACCATGAGGAGAGTAGCAGTATTAAATATAGAGGAACTCCAGGATGAGTCATCTGCCGCAAAGCTCAGAACTATCATGTTGGCCCAATATGGAGTAATTTCAGCAGAAGTATGATTTTTTTTTAAATACATACTGCTAACAATACATACTTATAAAATGTTACTGTAAAACTCATGCTAGTAAACTATATTCACCCATATGCTCTTATTTACAAGTATACTTTGAAAGTACAATCCCGTTATGCTCGCATGGCTTTACATTATTTCTAATTGAAAAGTAAACTGAAAGGATAGACTATAGTTCTATGCTTTATTTTTTTTATTTTACTATATTGGGAATTTATAAGAAATGTGTTATATGTCTGTTTATGCAAAGATGCGCTACATTTCTGTTATTGTAATTATGTCAATGTAAAGTCTCATGCTCCCACTTTTCTGCTTATTTTAACAGCAAACACAACGTGAGTAGCAACAATACATGTCCTCCTGTAATTTTCTAGGGCCAACCACTCCTCATTTTATATACATGATAAATGTACAACAATGTAATGTAGACTTAAAAAACCTATTTTATTTTAAACTAAAAAAAATAGAACACAAATGTTTTATTAGAAATGTGTCTTACAAAATATAACTAAAACATTATGGTAAGAGAGCTCTTGCTAGTGAACTAAGTATTTGTTTAAAAAATTTCTTTTCTAATCGCACTCTCAATGTTTTGAATAATTTACAAATCAAACATTTTTTTTTATAAAAATGGTTGGCTTTGGCAAAACTATTTCCTGTCTTTGCATTTGTTTCATTCTTAATGTTTTGTAAAGTATATATTCACCTTGCTTTGAGTAATGCATTTCCCTTGTGAAATCTTGCACTTATGTTATTAGGTTTACCATACCCAGGATTGAAATTAAATTTTAATTTAAACGTTTTCACTTCAGGTGTATACTGTTGGTTTAATTATTTCTGTTCTTTAGCCCTTCTATTAATTTATAAAAAGAAATGGGCTTGCTTTGATTAATAATTTACACATACATAATTTTATGTGTATCTCTAAATATTCATCATATATTTCTTAATTGTCCACATATAAAATATATAGTTTTTGGGCTAATTTAAGATAATGTTAAAATTAAATACAAGTTAACTAATTTACTAAAAAATGTTTGGAGATACCTGATTAAAAGAAAAAATATATGTACTGTAAACCAAAATCCTGAATTCAC